AAAAGGTCGGGCAGTCATGAGTGAATGTGGCCAGTATTACAGCAATAGGTAGTGGAAGGACTGACCTGACATGAAAGTTCAGTCGTGAGACTGACGTCAGCATTTACCCTGGTTTTAGAAAAAAAGGAACATTATCCAGTCCATGTAATTGTATCATAGTCATGATCATCATCAAAATTTCCTGACATTAATTTCGACCCAGGCGAGATTTCATTCTGCCATTCTTGGCCATGTAACTTTCGCTCTGTTGTTAATTCCGTTCGCCTTGTAAATGAAGCTAATTCCATCTCAGAACCTGCGAACCTATTGACGACTGTCTAGGAGCCCTAGGACCACTGACTGACGCTTTTCCGATGGTCAGGCAAGGTTATGTAGGTCGCACTTCCGGACTTCTCGGATTTGCTAAGCAGTTGGTTTCCACGTTTAATCGTCACGTTATCGCACTTGTTCACCTCATCTAAAAAAAGGCTGGGAACAGTACAATACAATACAAATTTTCATTTAATCATCATCAGTGCTATTCATTATCCTTGCTGAAGGAAGACCAGAATGACTGATGTAACAATGTTGAAAAAATGATTACTGATTTAAAATCTGAGAAAGTAAAAAGAAAATTGAGAAAACGAAAAGAAAATTGAGAAAATGATCAGTGATTACTGTTTGTTGCCCAAACATAACGAAGAAAGCGTTTTTCTGACGATGAAGAGCAGCTCAAGGGTGCTATTAACGCACACTTTGGAGAGGAAATTATTTTTAGCGGGTATTGAGAAGTTAGTGTCCGGAACAACAAGTTCTGAGCTTATGGAAGACTATAATGAATAATCAATTCTATGCAGAATTTTCTACCCTTTCTATACCGAGAATACATTAAACACCCCTCTGGACTGGCTACGTGACAACTTGAAGTTTCTCTCGCGTCCTGCCGCAGCACACTAGAACGCTGGCGCATAGCGGCTGCTTTAACACGGAAGAAGGAGGAAAACAAGTGGTGGGCCGGGAGAGGGCATTTCAGAAAGAGGGGATTTTTCTTGGAAGAAGCACCTGATGTGTTAGAAAAGTTCAAATGTGTGGGATGGCAGAGGATATTACTGAGAAAGGAGAGCGAGGGCAAAAAATACGTGATGAAAAAGAATAGACGCTTGTGTTGTCCTTACATCGGCTAGAATAGAGCCGCTTAAACGGAAATCTGGCAACGTCAGGCAGCTCTTTTGAAAATTTATCAAATCCACAAGAACTCTTGAGAACTTACCCTACTGCATCGTAAGTCAACAAGATTGATGTTAAAGGTCAATGTTGCCAATTCCAAGGGCATTATTATTCCTTTTGAAGTATAATGTGTTGTTATTCGAAGGCCAAGAAGTTATGTTCCGTTCTTGACCGGAACAGGTGTTGCCCGATCGATTAATACGTGCACATTGAACGCTCATTTGATTTCTCTGAGCTTATTACATTTACCTGATCTCTCTATGTTTCTATGGGCAGCACCTTCCCAAGGAGTATGATACTCAGAACCAATTACTGCATATGGGAAGTTCGGACTGAGCTCCTTAGATTAGTTGCGATTAGTGAGCTTACAAAGGAATAAGAGCAGGAGAACTTGAACTGAGCTGGAGCTCGAGACCAATGAGTTCATGAGAGCATGTGTATTTGATTAAACTCATATGCGGGTCGTAAATCGGACGAACAATCAGAAGAAGAACATAACCGGCATTCACATCACGAGAATTTCGTTACAACTTTATAGTTACAAAAACAAGTGTTTGAAAAGTAACAAGTTAGATGCATCAAATGATGTGGGCTCAAAATAGCAGTTCTATTGAGAAAGACGATAGCACTGCGTGAGGTTAGGTGTGAAGATTTGAGAGGATTCATGCTCCAGTCAAGCTGGATCAAGTCATGGCAGCGGTGCTATGCAGGCGCCCTCATCGAGAGCAGTGCTGGTTGATGATGAACTGGCAACTCTCTCGTTGAACAGCGGCACTTTTTTTTCTGCCCCGACCCGACGCAGGCGCACTCGCAGGGCGCACTCATAGGTGCTATGCGTACATACACATACTTGACAATTGTTTCTTTTGCAAATGTTTCTTATGCCGACTCCAGGTCCGACTCCATCTAATCGGGGTAGGTGGGAGGGGCAAGGAGCCTAAAAAGAACTGGAAATGCATTCTAGTATGTTCAGCAATGACGCCTACTCGTTTTGAACTTTATGCTGCGTAGTGGAAGACCAATTATGTCAGCATCGGGATAACTGGTTAAATCACTGCATCGCATGCCTCATTTCCGCAATCGCCCTTCGTCGTGTTCACAGTTCTTTTAATGTTATAAAATGTATGTAAATCCACATTATGATGTTCTCGCGTTCATTTTCTGCTCCGAACACTAAACCCTATCGACTCGTTCGTCTACCTCTGGAATAAAAAGAAAACAATTGGCGTGGCATTTGTTAGCCATTTTCTTCTTGAGTAGAGCCACTCAATCGACTTACACTCGATATCATACGCGTTTCCGGTCTGTGCTTGGACTGCCTGCCAGGCAATGTGAAAGTTGGCGTTCTCGCTCTGGCAATGAAAAGGGCATCTCGCGGTCACAGGTAGTGAAAAGTGGGGCTCAAGTACAAATGACAGAATGGCATGCAACTCATCAGTGAAGAAAGAACTAGGAATACCTTCCACCTACGCATTTCAGATAGGACCACGCTTGGATCGGAACTTGTACAAGTATATGGAAAAATGAGGAAACGCTCCAACAGTATCCCACTGCTTGGTCAGCGATATCAGCTTCTTTCCCCTTTCACTTCACCCTTATCCTAATATAAAGATCTTGTCGCGGCAGAACAGCACCACCAGGAGCATTTGACAGTGTACGAAGGGCGTGGCTTACGGTGGAAGGAGGCGCATCCCCCTCGTTACGGGCGCCTAACGTCCATATTATTTTAGAGCCACGGAGAAGGTGGAGTCACTCAGACCTCTGAGCTCTTCTCGTTCACGCGCTTCTCGCTTTTCCATCATAATGGAAAAGGGGCCATCACTTACAGAACGTATTAGACCTATTATTCTGCCCACAGGGCCAGAGCGGGATGCTCTTGCCATTCTTGGGCAGTTATGCCTAAAAATAAAATCGTAGGTGTTAGTCGATCTACCAGTGAAGAAATACGCTGGCGAAAAGTCCGCAAACAGAACTGCAGAGTCAAAGGAGCGTATTCAGGACTACATGTCGCGTTGCCTCAACTGCAGTAAGTAATGTCTTCCTCTCTTGTGTAAATATTATGATGTACTGCCTTTCTAAACAATCGACTTTTTATTTAATGGCACAGTATTGAATCGATTATGAACCAGTGAAAGGAATACATTATTATAGGCAAAAAAATCACTAGGCAATAGTAAGGTTAGTAAATGAAACTACTTACACGTGAATATTAGCCTGATTGATAAAGGAATTCGCGCAAATCTTTCTAAAAGTTCCAACACTGCGACCGCATTACTTACTACGAGCAGCTACCAGTGTAACATTAGCAAGTTGATGGTAAAAATGCACTCAGAGAAATATTTTGGCTCATTTTCAGACATCAGTCGGACTACGTCGTGATGAATGATCGCCTTGAGGATCCACTTTTTCACCGATTCTCATCGTGCCATGATCCATGTAGTCCTCAAGCATGGGGGCAGAACTGAGCGCAGGAAAGTAGTTCTAAATATAGAACACATATAGGAACCATTAAAATTCACCCCTCAAAATTCTACTATTTCTTATTTAACCAATTCGAATGTACCTGATTAGAGGACTGTCGTGGTGGAAAGCCGAGAAAATGTGGAGGCCGTGAGTACTTCTCTACCGGTGATGGAGCCTGCTTCTTCATCGAATTGTTTGATGAATTCTGAACGAAAGGTAGAACAATTTTCCACTTTACCAGTAATTGTGGTTGCGTGTACCATGCGAATGCTAGGGGTGGACATTTAATGACTGGTAAGATACTAGTCGGATCTCCGACTCCTTCCCCTAAGGTCCTGCTTCTTTCGTTGTGTTAGAATACGCGGTTGATGCTATTGCAGGACATATCATTAGTTGGGGGTTTTGATCGTGTTTACGACCCCCTCCCCCCTAAAAAGTGGCCTGATACGATCCCCCTAGTTCCCTCTTCTATTCGATCTGCCGCTAAGGCAAATACGACGCCCTTCTCCCCAACAACAATCAAGTAAGACCCCTTCCCCGGTGATCAGATATGCCCCCTGTTGGGGGAATCCCCAATGGTGATGTGCCTTGTTAATGGTGTGGTACTTGATTCGGACATAGCGTTGATTGCGTTGTTGTCGGGAAATTTCCATTCGAGGCAACCGTCGTCTTCCTGTGCTCGACTAGACGTGTTCGCCATTGTTCCAAGGTGACAATACCACATGAAAAGCGCAGGCGCTGTCATGTTCAAGCAAATAAGGACGCAGCCACGCCCTACCTATCTCCAGGATATGACCTGAATGTGCCTGCTTGCTAGGAATTCCTTGAGTTTGAATTTGAATTCAAACTTGGAAGGGATAAATGCGATTGGACGGAGACATGCGCGACAAATAAAGAGTGATAATATGTGATAACCGTTGATACAGAAAACGAAGAAGGTCTCAAGGTCTCAGTAATTTAGCGCAGATACCTTCTTAGTAATCTATGAAATAGCGTCGGTAAAACAGTATGGCAGCTCTTTCAAATACTTCAATTTCATCAAAAACTCACATCTTCAGCAAACTGTTCAAATATTTTATTGACGAGATCGTATGCAACTCGACCACCGACGTGCTCTCGAACGAATTGTAATAAAAGAACGCCATCTGGATGAAGGCATTCCTTCACAAATCTCTTCATCTCACATTGGGCCACACTACGCTGAAACATGAGGTTCACTACTACACCAGGTGCACACAAGGTGTACAACATGAAGACGGTGCAGTTCGGCTTGGTGGGGGCATGGATGTGGAGTGTTACTTCCCAATCGCAGCATCGCGCGTACTGGACACGGTATGTAGCTAGTTGGCTGAACAGCAAAGCACAGAGAGCTAGTAGAACTGAGAGATGCAGACGCAGAGATTCGACAAGTCGCAACACTGCCACGTTGAGTGGGGGGCCTTGGTGTGAATGTCGCGTGTGTCAATCCGCCTACCTCTCCGCACTCGATGCGACTGGGAAGTAACGCCTCATCCACTCAGAGGTCTCCTCGTTAAGTCCTGCGAATATCTTTAACCGGAGTGGCTCACTAGTACCACTCCGCAGCTTAACGAAGCTTTACAGGTCTCCCATACTGTAACCTATTAGTCAAGAAGAACTAGCGAAACAAAGGCGCAAAATGCCCTTTCCCAAAGCCAAACAGCGCCCAAACTGAAGACTTACGTTACGATCGGAATCCAGATTGAAAAGAATCAGCTTGGAGCGAAGTGGTGGAATCATCATAACGATAGCGAAGTAGATGAAGTTCACTATCGTAGCAATCCCGAGGAAAAACATCCTGAAAGGACAGTGGATAATCCAGATACAGAAAACTATAACGGAACACGACTAGTACTAACCAGAAATATAAAAACAGGTACAGTTTCTCGTTGATCATGTTCATCATTATGACGCATTGTACCGTATGACGTTGAAGATTGGCAAGACGACGAATCTAAAATACCATTGACTCAAGTGGCAAAGCAGGTCATCATGTGGGATACTGTTATGAATCCTTCAACGACAGAAAAAATCCTCAAAGAAATTGTGGGAGTTTACGGGTCTTCACGTTGATGGGAACTAGCGAAATGCCGCTCCAGTGAGAACTGTGCCAGAATCATCTAATCTCAACACGCTGGGCGGCAAGGGTACAGGGGTGTGGAGCGTTGTGTCTTACGCTGTGTTCATACTTTGCAGCAACGTCCACCAGCGTCTACCAACGTCCATCGGCGACCACTAGCGTTCCGAGCGTGCGGCACCGTTAGCGCTTAGGAAAGGATAGACATGGATCTAACGTCTACCAGCATCTGCCAGTGTCTCGAGGCTAGGGAAATATATTTATTGATCTAACGTCTACCAACGTCCACCAGCGTTCACTAGCGACCGGGAGTAGAAAGTATGGGGAAGTAGGAGGGTAACAAACAGCTCCATTAGGCGTCGTAAAATTTCGGGCGTGTGCAATTGCACCTGCAACCACGCTAAACCGTACATTAAATTGCATACTCTTGCTAATTGCATTTTCTGCTGTAGTAGTTGTGCTCTGCGGTTGCACACGCCACAATTTCACGACGCCTTATCCAGTTGTTTGCTACCTTCTGGTTCCTCATACTCTCTACTCCCGATCGCTGGTGAACGCTGGTGGACGGTGCTAGACGCCGGCAGACGCTAGATCTATATCTACACCGTTCTATTCGCTGACGCTGCAGTAGGCTCAAAACCCGCTGCCGCAAAATATGAACACAGCCTTAGGCGCGTCATCGCGCAGTAGCGGAGTACTTCCTATTGAGCTACACAGAGAGAGCTAGCCGGCTTGAGAGATGCAGGCACGGAGAGAGTCGACCGCCCCGACACTGCCACGTGGGTTGGGTGTTGACGCAAATGCTGCGTATGTTACTCGCAAGGAACGCTCCACACCATGTACAAGTACAATCACGACGCTCCCTTCGAAGATAGACTTCGTATTTCATCAGTGGGGGAAGCGGATATCCCTCCAAGGGTCGGAATTAGCATTTTTCCTTCGTGACATAGCCGGTGCTTTTCCCGCTGCAGCCACATCTTGCTTCATGATCGCAACTTCATCGCTTCAGAAAATTTGCGTAAAATTGAAAAGAGGAAGTGTGAGGCTGCGTTCATACGCTCACCAGCGCGTACCAGCGTCCGGGACTCGAGAGTATGGCGCGATAGGAAGGTATTAGACAGCTGGTAGAGTACGGGAAAATAGGAGGGTAGCGGACTGCCGATAGAGGTGGGGAGAAGGATGGTAGCAGAGTGCTGGAAGAAAGTATGGCGCGATAGAAGCGTAGCAGACAGCCGCTGGTCGCTGGTGGGGGCTGGTAGACGCTGGCAGACGCTATGTTGATACCTATACTTCCCTAGCCCCTGAGACACTGGTGGAACCTGGTAAACGCTGGCAGACACTAGATCGATCTATAATTTTCTAGTCGCTAACGCTGCCGGACGCTCAGAACGCTGGCGGACGCTATTTTTGTTGATGCACGTTGCCGCAAAGTATGAAGGCAGCCTAAGGAGATGGTGCATGACTTGAAAAACTTACTACCAAGTAAAACAAGTCTGCAAATCACAAACCTGGAAATCACACATAATAACGCGAGGGAAAACCTCAGTTTCTTTCCATTCATTTCCGTGAACGATATTAGAGGCCATCTAAAATTCAGAATTATCACTATAAGGCTTGCGTACTAGCTGATATACGGTACAAACCTCATAACCCCACTGGAGATAGTTCTGTCCGAGAAAATGATTAAGTATAATAATTTGTAAGCAAATATTGGCAACATAGGCCGCTTTGGTAAGAAGATACAGCAACGTCGCGTTGTATCCGGAACGAGGTGTAGAGTAAACCTATAAAGTGAATAGTAATGAGATGGAATGACATTTGGGCCTACATGAACCTGGAACCTTTGTTTGAAGATGAAAAATTAAAATATCCTAGATATCGAATGAGGAACCAAGTTGGGGGAATCAGGAGGCATGAAATGGCATTCACTACCAGTAATTGTTTTGCTATTACCCCCCCCCCTCACCGCCTCGATTTTGACAGCCGAACAATTACGAGCTGGATTCAAAGGGCAAAAAAAACCTTAGTCCGATCGGCGCGACGATTTTCAGACATCGTCATGAGAGTTATGGACGAAATGAATGAAAGACATCGTGTTCCTCCAACGAGGAGATCCCCGGACTACCCTGGCTCTCACAGAGACGACTACGGGGAACCCAGATCAGCGAGATGGCAGGAGATACATGGGGATTTTGTCCAACGAGCTCTGAAGAGCAATCGATTCACAAAGAAAAATCATTGGAAGTGAAAAAATGGACTATGTTTCAAAACCAGACTGAGCTCTTGCAAGTTAACCGAAACAGAAACATGGAATGGTTTGGCTGGTCTGGACGGGTTTGATCTTTGCCTTGATACAGGGGCCATTTGTGCCGTAGCGACGCTGTTTTTATATGTAAAAATACCTCTGATACTGAACAATTTTCCTCTCTTTCATTTTTATTATTCAAAAAAATTATGTTCGTGGAAAGATGTTGCACAACAAGAAGAAAAGCATAATACTGACATACCTTCCCTTTAACATCGGGTTGAAAAACAGCTACAGTCTCCAAGAAGTAGTTAGCCAACGATTCGACTTCTTTATCCCTTTTCTCTCCTACAGCGAACCTGACCTTTTCGGCTTCCTTTAGGAATTCTCTCGGATTGATTGCTGAAAAATTTTATGCGGTGAAATTGATTGAATTAGGCTGGACTGAAATGTTACAATAACAAACCAGTTTGTTTGTGCAACATATTCCAAATCCAGTTGGGAATGAAGAACATAATCGCCTGAACAATGTCATGAGTGATTACAAAATAATAACTACCAATAGCCCTCAGGTGAATTATTACCTGTAAAGCTAACATAATTGGCACCCATCGATAATAGCTGATGTGATCCTTGCGATGTTCAATATCAACCGGAATCTCCTCTTCAAATGGCACATAGTAAGAGTTGGCAATGAAGCAGTAATCCTCGGCATATTTTTCCCATCCACCTGAAAATGAGACGTGCGGTTGGGCAGATTAAACTTTCAGGCGTTTTTGGTATTTTTGAGAAGTGCATTTCTCTTTTGAGAGAAAAAACGAGGTATTTGTCTGTCACTGGGCTGTTTAGTACAAGACGACCTGCCGTCTCGTCGTCTTGTAGACCTACTTATTCAGCGTGAGTATACAGGGGGGGGGGGCAAAAAAGTCATTCCGGTCGAGTCACATATGAGCGAAGTTTTCGCAGCCCAGACAGAGGAAGTGGTGAGTACCAGGGCGGAAGATACTCAAGATCTTTCTCTATAAGTAGGAGCCGGCTGCCGCCATTCACTTTCATGTACACCAAAATATGAAGTCATCTCCAGTCGCGGCCTGAGTGGAGAACGCCTTTGGAATTCACGTGGCCTCCAAACAGCTGCGGAACTTCTTGAATGGAATCACCCATGGGTAGCTACCTGGAGACCAGTACTCTTGATCTGCAAGACCTCAAACATCGAGCAGCTCCGGCAACGTCGCTACGGTCCAGGACATCATCTTCACCCCATTCACCAAGGCGCGGGTTGATGGTGTGGACCGGCCGTACCTGGAATGGATGAACCGATATTTTCTTCGTGGGCCCCAGACTGAGGGAGTGCGCTGGTGGCTATATCGAGCAACTCGAGGAGAATATCCCATCTTCATGTCGTCGCCCGTACCTTCTTGGAAACTTTGTTCTGCTACAGGATTGGGTGACAACACTATTTAATCGAAGGCCGTTGGAAAAACTTTCGCCCACTTGGGATGGAAGAATGTTGAGTACCTGAAAAGATGGAGTATTTAAGCGGGGGTCCTGAACTAAACCCCCTCAATTACTCGATTTGGGCGGAGCTCAACAGGGTGGTCTACAGTGGCGGAGAAATCAACGATCTCGCTCAACTCCGGTACCCACTCACTTCGCGCAGCCGAATCTCTCGATGGCGCTCCTCCAGAAGGCTGTGGCGGAGTATCGTTACAGTATTTAATGTGCTCTTCAATATGGTAGTAAAAATGTCCGATAAAAATTCAATAAAGTGTAACTTATAGCGCAGTCATGAAGGCAAAATGACTTTTTTTGGCCCCCTGTGTACCAGAAATCCCTGAGATCGGATAGGCGTGGCTGCGTACTTGATTCCAAAACGGCAGTAGCCCACGTTTTGGTGAGATGTTGTTTTTTTGGAGTAGTCGTAACCATGTCTACATCTAACACAGAACAAAATAGCAGTTGTTTTGGATTGAAGTATCCCACGAGAAACTCGTCGTTTGCCATGCTCAAAACCCACGCCTACTCCTTCTCAGAGATAAGGAATGTAACTGGATAAAGGCAGATGTTTCCTCAACCACAGGTACATACAGTCATGTTCGCTGCGGACCAAGGGGCGTGTTAGTGAGGCTAGGTTGAGCATGCCAACGGTTTTGATAAATTTCTGCTGAATACGCCCCCCCCCCTCCGACAGCGAGTCTCACTATCCTCAACGAAAAGGCAAGAAAGCAGATGATACAAGATTCTTGAATTTTATTTGTTCGCGCACATTCAGACATTGCGTGCGAGGTTTAAAACGCCTTTAAGTACCAGGACACATCATTGTTGGGGAATCCCTAACAGGGGGAGGGGGTCGTATTTGGCCGCCAGGAGAGGGGAGGGTCGTATTTGAACTGAGGACAAATTATTTTGATAGTTGATCTTTCTTGCTTCTATGCGTTTTAGAAGGGGTGGGGTCGTATTTTTTTGGCCTTCTAGAAGTGGTGGGAGTGTGGTTTGACTTTACGAAGTTTTCCTATTTCATGCGTAGTATATACCTAGTATACACCCTCCCCCCGCTCGACGGCTCGGTTCGATGAGGAGGGAGAGGGACAGAGAGCCGGAGGGGAGGGGGTCGTACTGCCCCCCACCCCCCCAAAAAAAACTACTCAAAAAAAGGAAGGGTTGTACAGACTCGCCAGCCAATGATGTGCCCTGTTCAGTACTGGGGCCAGCTATTTCGCGACACGTGTGCAAAATAATGGAGGAGTTCCAGAAGAACCCCTTGTTTGAATATTCATAATTCTCTCTATAGTGGAACTTCTGAAAGGGGGAAAGCATATGCAAAGCTCTAGGTTCGCAGTCCATCAACTATGATTAAACGCATTCACGCTCCTCCTTTGGGGTAACCTTCCCCTGTTGCGACTTCGTGTGATATTTTGGTGTCGCCTACGATATTTTTTGCTTTGAACAGCCATATCTTTCTCTACATGTGATTTTTAAGAAAACAAGGCAGCGCCGGAATCCAGAAGGCTTTCGCTCTCCAAAAAGTGCCCCACTTTTCTCTCGTGCTCACTATCTAAAAAATTCTTCCTTGTGATTTTGTTATGACAAATTTTAGACGACGCGAAAGACCCATGGCGCATTACCATTCCCAGTTTATCTGAAGACTAGGGTAAGCTTCTGGAGCACACTTTTTGTCGGAATTATCGGGAAATAGTTCATTTAGGGCCAGCTGACATTCCCTCTGTACTGCGCCATGCATTGACTGCAGAACTGTTGGGAAAGTGCAACTACCACGTAGCTTCTCCACAGATGTGCTCCTAGACTTCAAAAAGGTTCAGGTTAGACTGGATTTCGTTGTTTATTAACCATAACACCTTTGTAAGCGACTACCGTGCTACCTGTCACCACCTATTCCCCATTTCTGAGCTTGAACTTCAGCCGTTCTTCACAGCAAGCATCATGAATGAATGCTTTATCAACCAAAGGGTGCTCGATCATGAGTGGGCAACAAAAGGATGTATCTAGGAGGTTGACTAGAGTACGTGCATCCGAAAGGTCGGCCAGGAGGAACATTTGAAATAGTCGCGTAGACGAGGTCATTTCCACGAAGCACTTTATGAGATTAGGTTGGCCTACAGTCGATATCGCCGCAATCAGTCGAGGTTGTGTCAAGAGGTCTGAAATGAGCCATTCTTCAGCGTTTTCACTAGTGGCTGTTTACACTGCGAGTCTATAACTGACGCAGAAAAGGCAGCCGGAGGTGGTATGATTATTGATACCGCCTTGACTGATTGCGACACTAACAACTACATAATTTATGAAGCATTTCGGAATATGGGCTCTAGGATTCTATTCGCTTAACTCATTCGCCCGATACTATAGAATATACTATAGAATACTACAGTACACTTGCACATATACGTACAGGGGGCAAAAAAAGTCATTTTGCCTCCATGAATTTTCAAGGCGCTATAAGTTACACTTTAATTGATTTTTATCGGACATTTTTACCTACCATATTGAAGAGCACATTAATTACTATAAATGATACTCCGCCACAGCCTTCTGGAGGAGCGCATCGAGAGATTCGGCCCGCGCGAAGTGAGTGGGTACGGAGTTGAGCGAGATCGTTGATTTCTCCGCCACTGTAGACCACCCTGTTGAGTCTCCGCCCAAACCGAGTAATTGAGGGGGTTTAGTTCAGTACGCCGCTTGAATACTCCATCTTTCCCAGGTACTCAACGTTCTTCCATTCGTAGGCGAATTTGTTTTTCAACGTCCTTCGATTTCATGTGGTGGCACTCAATGCTGTAGCAGTACAAAGTTTTCAAGAAGGTACGGGCGACGACATGTAGGGCGATATTTGCTCGAGTACTTGATGTAACCGCCAGCGCTCACCATCAGTCGGGGTCTACAAGAAAATAATCAGTCTTCCCATTCCAGGTACGGCCGGTCCACACCATCAACCCGCGCCTTGGTGAATGGGGTGAAGATGATGTCCTGGACCGTAGCGACGTTGCCGAAGCTGCTCGATGTTTGAGGTCTTGCAGATCAAGAGTGCTGGTCTCCAGGTAGCTATCCATGGGTGATTCCATTCAAGAAGTTCCGCAGCTGTTTGGAGGTGACATGAGTTCCGAAGGTCTTCTCCAGTCAGGTTGCGGCTGGAGATGACTTCATATTTTGGTGTACATGAAGGTGATGGGCGAGCGCCAGCTCCTGCTTATAGAGGAAGATCTTGGGTATCTTCCGCCCTGGTACTCATATCCACTTCCTCTGTCTGGGCTGCGAAAACTTCGCTCATATGTGACTCGGCCGGAATGACTTTTTTTGCCCCCCCCCTGTATACTTGCTAAGCACTTAATATCCTGCAACTGTCGCTCCGCCCCTCCATGACTGCTGTTGGCAGTGTTCCGCCCTTGCCGATCCTCAGCAAGGGGGTAGGGTCATATTCTAGCCGCTGAAGGGATGTTTTCGCATTGTAAAAGATATTTTCGGTGACTTTTCACGCTTTTTTTTCAGTCTCAAGTACGCTGCATTTTCATCCTGCCTTTCCTTCCCGCCCCACGGAATTTTTTGTTTTGAGGAAAAAGTGGAGAATTCTTGAAAAGAACCAGAAAACTAATGGTAGGAAGTAGGAAGAATTCAGGAGGATGGTAGGTAGAATGGGCATATGGTCAAGTGGATCGTGCCAGGGGAGGGAGTTTTGAGGAGGAGGTTTTGAGGATCGTCTAGAATTTTCCCAAACGGCACGATTGTCCTACTTCTACCTCTATCTCCCACTCTGACTCCTCACCTCATGCCTGTGAGATCTGACATCCGCAACGTTCTCCTCGGGTATATGACAAGAGAATCGTAATTCGCCGCGCTGATGGGTGTCGCATGCGGCGTCGCGCCCGCGAATGACGTTGGTTCCAGGTCGTTGATGGCGACAACAGGCAATGGAGAAGCGAGAAGTTGACTACTGTTTCGTAGCCCACGTAAAATCGGGTGCTCCAATCGACAGGCTTACACGTGTTGAGTAAACGCCGCTCCCAACGCCGCGTGCTGCAAATTACGATTCTCTTGCCCGCCTCCCGTTCACCTCAGTTCCCCTTAGGGATGTGACTTGTTGGACTACGTGGTTGGGTTCAGTAATGCATCATGGCTACCTGGAGGATATGTCAATGAATGAGTGTAAATTATTTTTGTGACGAAAAGAGGGCGTGGCAATCTGGGGTGGGCTTCGAAGGAGGTTTCTTGTGGGGTAGTGTAGAAGGCGCTCCGCGCTAGAGCGAAAAAAATCGCTTTGCGAAGTATCGTCATAAAAACAAGGAGAGCACTAACCTCTGAATTCACTAGGCACCCAGCATTGTATTGGAGATCCAAAATATTGTTTCGCAGAAATAGCCAAAGCAAAGAAAGCAAACATAATCGATGACACATAGTAGTTGAGGTAGTCTACGGAGTCGGCAACCTCAAAATAATAAAGCATTGCAGAAGTGATCGCAGAAAATGGGAATGAAATCCCACCTTTTGCCGTTTCACCGTCTTTTGGATGAACTTGGTGAGAAATGGGATGTTAAGCATGATTTCTTGGACAGAATCACGCTACACCACACACGCCTAAGCATATGGAAGACATTAAGACACCAGAGTACATAATGGAACGAATATGGCGATCGAAGTTCGAGCCGAAAAAAATAGATAAAAGGATAGTTCCTGGATCACTACTTTATGTACTTGTGGACTCGAACTGAAGTGAGAGCCCTATTGAGCTATAGCTCCAAAGAAAGGGTATGGAGGCAGAAATGAGCGTTCAAAATGAGGAAAGGAAAGTTTGCTTGGCCTGAGAAAGACTATTCTTTTCTCGAGAAGCGCAGCGGCCTCACTTGTGACTGCCCCACGACTGTCCAAAGAGGTGTAAGTGAAAAAAATACAGCAAGAACGACTCTTTCAACAAGTTGACATCTACAAGATCGCTGAAAAAAAAGGAGAAAAAACGCAGAAAAATGAAGAAAAAAGTGGGGCAAAGCTGAATCTTCAGCTTTTATTCTCTTTGCCTGTGGTAGTAATTCAACGCTATGATCACGAATATAAGGCTTTGTTCATACTTTGCGACTATGCTTCACACGAGCCAGCGATCTCGGGTTTACGATCGGCAGCGCTCTTACCATATTCGATGGCCCCTTCCAGCTGCAAACTGAGCAATGGCAGCTTTAGCAGTTGGAGCAGTCCACTGATTACCCTTGAAGCGCGATCAATCGTCGCGCCGATGGAAGCGAGCTATTCGCTGGATCAGCGAAGTATGAACGCCGACTACACTCCCACTTTGACGCCACTAACACGTTGACGCCTGCGCCATTTGTCGCTTATACTACTTGATGGAAAACACAATGGTGCAACAATAGCGTCCATGGGCGTCACATGGCGCCGGCACCGAAAATCAATGCAGCACTCTTAATAAAGACGTGGGATAGCAAGTATCCACGCTTAAACCTATCATAGCAAGTAGAAATAGTCATGCCAAGTAGGTCCACAGAAAACTAGTGAGATATTCGTGAAGAGGGCACCGAATGATTCTTGTAGTCAGAAACCCAGAAAAAAAAACTTGGAGACCCTTAGGAATAGAAAGATTTTATTGGCAGTAGTACCATGATAAAATAGAGTGTTTACTCATTCAAAACACCAAAAGCAACATTTCCTTGCTTGTTCCTGTTCGAGATTCATCACATCATACCATCCCGGATTAGGAATTGATGATTCATCCATGAAACTCAACGGCTACATTCCAAAAATAGAGTAGAGAGTAGTGAGACACCCGTGGTTCACATTGTTACCAATGTGTCATGGTTCATTATATTCCCACACCAGCTCAGCCGTGAGAAAGAGGACATTCACAATTGTAGAAAGACACTCTCATTCTCTTTTCGCTATCGATTCTCTTTTCGCTATGGAATCCATATCGAAAAAAAAGTGCAGGCGACACGGCGGAATTTCAGGAAATTTCGAAGAGGTGGTAAATAAGGTAGCGTGGAGGGGGGATCGTTTGTGAAGAGGAAAAAAAGGGAGGGAAGGGTTGTGAACATATAATCAAGGTGAAACCTCACGTTACTTTTTGAATTTTTCAATTTATTTTTATAAATTAATTAATTTTATCTCGTAAATTTTATAATCAAATCTACCTATCAATTTCAACTTGTTAAAATATTTATAGCAGTACAGTGCGCTGTCTGATCTTAATTTTCTAATGAAGGAAAGACACTTAGGGAAATCCCACAAAGCTTACTAGTTTAGTTCTCTGGGCCAAGATCAGGCCGTCCACTGAGTGTGTTCAAATGATGGTTAAAAAACAAATTGAAAAGGTCAAATTAATGACCATCTATGCATTTTCACCGATCAAAGAAGTTGGCAAATAGCATAAAGATAGCATTAAATTATTAAAATATTTTGAAATTGAGTTAAGGTGATTGTGAGATGAAATTAATTAAATTATAAAAACAAACTGAAAAATCACAAAATAACGTAAGACTTCACCATGAATCAAGCTCATTGATCTCGCAGATGATTGTGTGTACTCTTTGAAGGTCAGGCAAAAAAAAACAAAAAAAACTAAACGATTGGAAAAAGAAAACACTCCAAGACACAGATGGCTGAACCATCGCTATTTCGTCTACAACGGGGTGTGAGATCGGGTTGACGGGACAAGAAATCTAGCAAGTAAAAATCTGTATTTATGTAGAGTGACATTTCCAGTGGCAGGTCCCCATCAAGGAAAATTCAAGCTTGGTCAAACAATAAACTGAAAGAGTTCAAATAGAAATGCAGTGTAACTTGAGCAGCCCAGAGCTGCTGGGAACAACTCCTTGCGACCGAATAGTTCATAAAAGTGTGAATACAAAAACGGAAAAAATACGGAAATACGACCCGAAAATTAAAAAGCATAAGAATGCACGATATGCAATACGGGCACGAATAAGCTAAGCGCGTATGCTGTGGGAGAGGTCAACTGGTATGGGCGGCACAGAAGGGGTGTGTGTGCGTCGATCGAGAAGAGGTCATCGCTCTCTTCTGTACAGAAAAGATGTGAGCCTCCTCTGTCATCACCACCTACACCATACACTCAGCCCACCCCCATTGCACCAGCACACAACCCCGCGACCCAATTCCTTCAATCAATCTATTGACAATACGTAGCTTTGTGCACTGCACATCGAGATCGTTTTGATTGCACAATCGATGATTATTAGTGTATGTAAAACCTGTGGGCGATATCGCTTTCGGAGCCGGTCTCACAGTTACACCTCCCACCACTTCGACTATCTGTATTTCACAAAACAGCTTCATCGAGCAGGATACCTTGTGTCGCTACAGTATCTGAGTGAAACTGAGCTGAACTTCTGGAGCTGGAGTGACGACGAGACCTGCTTTAATAAGTATACACTAGGACTTATGAAGATTTGTGTATTGTTCTATGAGCTCCCCATTTCGACGGGGACGAGAACCTTTTCAAAGGCCTGTTTTGTGGAAATTCTATCTCTTATGAGTTGTGCATTGAAGGCATAAGGCACAATAACTTGGTTTCTGGTCTAAAATGGTACAGGGGTGCCAAAGATTGGGAAAACGGCGAAAAAGCGAAGTGAAACGGTCAAAATCTGCGGAATATAGCCTTTGCTCTATATGATTCTACGAGCAATTTCGGACGAGTCTCCCGTTGGCATCGAGCCAATAACCGCTACGGTAGATACGGCTGTTTCCATGCACTCATATATCCATGCCGAATTGCAGCCGCTCCATTTGAATCCCTTCGCTTCATACTGTACTTCGCAAATGAAGTGATATGAGCATCAGCATAGGTCGGACATTTATGGGCGGCGCGATGGGCGTCTGGGTCTATGTATGTTGCAGCTTGATAGGCCGCTATTAAGGTACCTCCCTTGAAAAAAGCGCCACGCAGCGCCTGCTCACAGGGTCGAATTCTGTTCTGCTACGCATTGATCCTACACGTCTTGAGGATTTATCGTGCCGTTCGCCCTTAACAGTTTGCTTGGCCCAACAGCATCCGTTGAAGCGCAGTGATAGAAATCCAGTCGAGTGAAACGATACTAAAGGATCAGATCAGATCGTCGCGACATACCGATTGCGGCTGATGGTAGCCAGACCTCTCGAGAGATTACAACAACTCCCACGAAGTTTCACACTTTCACATTCAGGTCCTCTTAGAGGTACAGTGCTATGATACTGAGCTATATTTAATTTACTTTATTACTGAAGCAGCCTGTGCAACAAATAACCACATGGTTTCAATATTTTCAGTTCTACAGTAACCTGCTTGTGATTTGGTAAACATAGTCTATTGTTTAATCAATTTAATTGAGCCAATATATATACAATTGCCACAAGCCAACCAGAGGGGGGGATTCTTCCAGAAGAGATGTAATGCGCCCACTCGCGGCGTCTCTACTGTTGGTGGTTTCTTCCCAAGCTAGCCACTAACCGATCACCAATAGTAGAGCAAAACAGTCGGGAGGTTCATCCCCTCCCTTCCTGACACCGCCCCGCCTGATTGTGACGATATCAACTATGTAAGGTATTCAGATCTGCTTGATAGCAATGCGTCCGTTCTGCCATATTGTCCCTATCCTACTCTCCTTACTTATGTTGCACATCAAGGACATTATGAATCTTCTTTTACCATATTGTACGCGAGTATGTACTGTATTTACCTTCCTTTCATATGCAATCACTATGGAGGCTAACCTTTTTTGTATGACTGTTTGGCACAGGGCGTACTATGTATGCATTGTGAATAAATAAACAATAGTACCGACTCTATCAGCATCACTTGAAACGATATAATTAGCATTTCGGGCCTACTGTATGTATGTACTATCACAGTACGCCTGCGGCACTATTCTAACGGGAATGATGAGAATCTTAAGCGTGGCATCTGCATTACTACTGACAATGACGGCTTTCTGAGAGCGACACCTGGTCTTTCCTTTCACTCTTAGCCACCAGCATCGAAGAAGGTCATGGGTTAATCATTATCTTCCAGATCTGATCCCGGGTAGAAGATGACTCCAGAACTGCGAACTGTTGAAATTTTGAGTTTGAGTTGAGTTTGAGCTCCATTGTAACAATATCTCACATTCAACTCTTCTTTTCACATTTGGCGTGGGAGCTTACAGCACTCGGGATCCCTGAGGTGTGGTAGGCGTGGGTGCATAATTCAACTAAACGTGACGGTGGCTGTGCTTTTGATAAGATATTTTCATTTTGAAACATTTGTGGTCACCTCTCTGTGCAACACATAAGAACATGACAGCTCTCCCAGATTGGAATATTCCGCGAGTAACCAATTCCGTGCCATGTTCAAATGCCAATCCTACCTGGCTCAGGGATAAGGAGTGTACAGTCTTCACCTGGGCAACAAGAGACATGGCTGCGAGAGCAGAAGGTTCGGGTGAAAGACAAGCAGAGATGAATGTATGGGAAAGAAAGCGGCATAGGAATATGCAGTCATAGTCGGCACGCCCTTTATTACCCTCCGATATTAGTGGTTCGAAAAGTTCCGGTACACTTGATAG